AATTTATAATAGGAAGGGAGCATACTGCATTATGTCCTGCTCATGTGCAGTAACCCTCAGTGAACCTCACATTGTGATCCCAGGACCCAGCACAGGACAATTCACTAAAAGTGCCATATATAGAGTTGAATTAATATAATTAAAAAGAAAAGTTTTAAAAAGAGAACAGCCACTGTGATGCACACCAGGCACACTAGCATGCACATGATCTGTTCACTATAATATGTGCCTGCTGGTGTACCGCAGTACATGCATTGTCACATGTGTGCAGTGCTCATTATGTTTGTGTGTAGTGTGTGTACTGTGTGTGTGTTTGGTGGGACAGACACATTCAAAGGGCTGAAAAGGTTAAAGCAAACCCAAATGGAGTAAAATACTGTACAGAGGTTTCCATTGCTATGCTCCATTTGAAAATTTTAGTTGCCAGGTCCCAGGAGTCATTGGGGTTGATTTACTAAAGGAATAAAGACTGTTCACTTTGAAAAGTGTTTACTTTGCTTTGTGAATAAGAAAAAGCTGTGCTCGTTTCAGTCATTCAATCATGTACAAGCAAAAATCCTGCTTTCCCTTGCACATGTTTGGGGTATTTAAAGTGAACACAGCTTTATTTACTCTTGAAAATACACTTTGCAAATTGAACTGCCTGTAATCTTTTTATAAGTTATCTCAATTGACCCAGAAACAGCAAGTAGCAAAAGAAATCATAAGTCAAAAATCACTATCTGTATACCCATTCTAGGTTAGTGACTTGGGAAATATTAAAGTGTTGTGGAAGCCCCTGATGACGTCAATTCTGTCTGTAGGACGGAGCTGGATGTTGTAACATCATCACGCACACAGAAGTGTGCCAATCGGGTCCCAATTCATTGTGGATGCGTAGTGATATTACCTTTTAGCAGGGATTTTTTTTCTCAGAGAATAGGTACGGGAACTCCCCCCTTCTGAGTCACGCTTGTCTCCTCCCCCTACCCACCTCCAAGCACTGTCTCTTGGTCACACACCATAACCACCTCCCAGTACTGCCCCTTTTAGAAAATACAGAACTAATATTATGTAGTGCTAATTAATTTGTATGGAGTTAGTTAATGATAAGAAGAAAAGCAATAAAATAGATCCCCTGCAATCAGCAACAATAGACACCCCCTGGTCAATAGATCCCCTCAGCAACAATAGATCTCCCAGAAACAATAGACCCCCGGCAGCAACAACAGATCTCCCAGCAGCCAGCATCAATAAACCCTCCTGCAGGCAGCAATACTAGACCCCTTCCTCAACAGTAGATCCATCCCAGCAACAAATGACCCCCCAGAAATATCCAATTGCAACAATAGATCCCCCAGAAGCAACCATAGTAGACCCCTAGCAACAAGCATCAATAGACCCCCCAGCACACCCCAGCACCCCTTGCCATTACATACATCCAGTGCTGGAGGTGCTGGAACTGTGTTCCCCCACTTTCCCACAGAAAAAATACCCTACCTTTTATTAATGTGAGTGTTTTTTAAAGATTTTTTAAATAAAAACATATTTACACCATTGGAAGCGCTTGGCTCTTCCTTTTCTTTTTTCCCATACTTATGAGTTTTTTTTTGCGGAGATCTAAAGTGAGATGTAGTAGAAGCCACTATCCATATTGATCACAAGACAGTTATAAAATCTATGTGCAATTTGACCAGCCATGAAATGGGGATCATGGCACTCTGGTAAGCCTTCATGTATGGCACAGTGGTGGAGAGGAGCTTGTATTGCTGGACACATTTAAAGATCACTGCCTAATTATTAATGCACTTGACTATTTATGTGTTTAGATTAGTGCAGCACTTGTTTTTTGATTTAATGTTTATTGATATGATATATCACGTATTGTGTAAGCAGCTTTTCTTATATTACCTTTCTCTGTGACCATAAATGTGGTTTCATTTTTGTTTTCAAAGTGTTTGGATTAACATAACAGCCAGCCAATCAGCATATTCAAAAGGAGAGTTCAGCATTGGTATCCTCCATATTTAGTCAACATAAATTTCTTTTAACGAATGTGTGAGCTTTACATGAAAGCCTAACATTTTTGGCTAATGAAAAGATATAATATATGTGTGGGATAAAATCAGGCACCACTTTCCAAGTCATGTTTGTAGGATAGAAGATCTGCTATTTTTGAAAACTTTGATCACTTTTGCCTATATCTGGACCTTCTGGATCAATCTCAATAAACTGAACATTAAAACCACTTGCCTACTACACTATAGCAGATATACTGCTACAGGGTGGCTGCTCTGTGCAAAATCACACACACACACACACATATATATATATATATATATATATATATGCACTGCCATTGGTTGCAGCTGATGTCAATCACCGGGTCCCGGCTGGTGATTTTCAGCTGGCACTCAGTGATCACTGCTAAAGCTGAGAAGGGTGAGATCGGTGTGTAAACAACACAGGTCTCTCTCCAGTCAGCATGGACATGCAGCTTTCTCTCTCTGCGCAGAAGAGAGAGAGAAAGCAGCATGTCTCCCTAGTAAAACAGCACACAGCACACAGTGTAAGCACAACACACAGTTAACCCTTTGATCACCCCAGGTGTCAACCCCTTTCTACCCAGTGTCATTAGTACAATGTCAGTGCCTTTGATTAGCAAGTATCCCTGAATTAGTGTTTTCTGGAGATGTCCGTGGCCATCAGTTCCCACCCAATGTCAGAATGCCCACTACAATCCCACTATAAGTCACTGATCGCCACCATTACTAGTAAAGAAAAAAAAAAAAAAATTTCCAGTGTATACCGCCATTTGTAGACGCTATAACTTTCACGTGCACCAATTATTTTGCACGTATTGGGATTTTTTTTTAGCAAAGACATGTAGCAAAATACATTTTGGCCTAAATTTATGAAGAAATTTTATTTTTTAAATGTTTTATAGAAAAAACTAAAAAAATATTGTTTTTTTTTTCAAAATTGACTGTCTTTTTTGTTTATAGCACAAAAACTCAAAAACGCAGACATGATCAAATACCACCAAAATAAAGCTCTATTTGTGGGAAAACAATAACATAAATGTAATTTATGTACAGCGTTGCATGACCGCGCAATTGTCAGTTAATTTAACACAGCTCCATATCACAAAAAATGGCCTGGCCAGGAAGGGGGGTAAATCCTCTGGAGGGCAAATGGTTAATGACTGCAATGATTTGTGACTGTATCCTGCTTGGAAATGCCATACAATGCTGTTTCTCTTAGTGTAAATACAGCTCCAATATTCTGTGCCTGTCTAGCTGAGTAACAGCTACACTACTCAATTGAAATGTCTTCATGCAGACTTGCATTACAGAAGAATGGAAGGGGCATGTCTGACCAGATTATTATTATTAATATACAGGATTTATATGGCACCAACAGTTTGCTCAGCACTTTACAATATAAGATCTGGTACTAGTGCTGATTACTGAATGCACTGGAACTAGCTCTGGTGGCTACTGTAATGCACAGTCATGTTTAAACACTCTGAACGATTGGTGTAACAGGAAAGTAGAGGTACAATTATAAAAATGAGGGTTATTAGTAAAATGTCTATCTGCCTGCATAATGATTTCTGTTATTTAGTTGGACTTTAAAAGATACATTTGTAACTGCATGATCTGTATTTTGAAGACCATGCAAATGACATAGGCTTGAGGTGGATTGTGGGTATGTACTTCTTCTCTTTAATGTTAGGTACTGCCTTCCTGTATATTAGGTGAAGGGAGATTGCCTTAGTTATTGTAGTCAGTTCAAAAGAAGCTGGAAGCAATTGTGTGGAACTTAGAATTAAAGACTAGCACACACAAAAGTGTTAAGCACAACATTTGGACTTTTGCCCTGTGGAGCACAAAATCTTTCATTATTGTTTATAGCCTGCCATAGATGAGAAGGATTGCTTGATGAGTTTCAATCGCATCTTTCCCCTCTAATTCACATTGTAATAATTTTTGTTGGGAGGAGGTTTGGTGTGATTGATTGCAACAATTCACAACCAAGTGTGTTTTTTTTTTTTTTGGTCACATGCCTTAAAAACATATCCAAAATTAAAAAAATCTTCGCACAGCTTGGGAATAACAGTAATAGAATTGCACTCTTGGTTTGATATGTTGACAGATAAACTCTTTTTTGTAACCGAATAAATACTTTTGTTTTCCATAGCTACACTCTGAATGAATATGTTCTATTATTGCCATATGCACAGTCTGGCAGTGGCAATATTACTTTCAAATTCCGATTCTTTGTTAAGTATATCTTATTTAAATTTTGAAATTTCAGCCTCTTCAGTTTGTAGCAGTGGTCCTCACTTCTGATCATTAGTGACCATCAACAAGTCATGTTTTCTAGGTCTCTCTTCAGAATCGACTGTGAAATTATTTCTGTGTTTCCTATAAGCTGCTACTAATCTACATAACTGAGGTTCTATCAGGAAGAAAGGCAACATGAGTTGTTAGCAATTATTGAAGCCCTGTGCTCAGAACTCTAATCTGTTGCAATAGATTCAAAAACAATAATCAGTATAGAAATCGAGCAATGTTTAGCAAGCAAAATCAGGACAAAAGATACACATTTTATTTTGCCACTTTGTAATGGTCTGTAATCTTTTACTGATGAACACAAGACCAGGGGCAGACTGACCATTTGGAAACTCGAGCACTGCCCAAGGGCCCGGCGTCAGTAGGGGGCACCATGAGATGCCCCAGGTGCCTTTTTCATTGGCTTTTTTGAGTTTGGGCAAGGACACAGGGGCCCCATGATACCCTATTGCCCGGGGGCCCCATGAGTTGTCAGTCCGCCCCTGCACAAGACTATACATTGACTAATACTGATATAATTATAAAATACAGTAGCATTACTTTTTTAAATCCTATTTCTTAAGGTATACATTCCTACTGATGTTTGGAGATCTGTAATCTACTTTTTTAAATTGATACTGGATATAATTATGATAGAACACTAATCCTCTGTGTGTTTTGTAGGTATGGTTTCAGAACCGAAGAGCAAAATGTAGAAAACAAGAAAACCAAATGCATAAAGGTGGGTATGGTGAGTAACATGTTCAAATTTTACTCTCTTTTCAAGATACACACCTTTTCAGCCATCTCTTTCTAAACATTACCTGCCATTTTTCCATTAGGTAGAGTAACATTATCTGCAAGTTGTAGCAATTACCATTCCTGCGCAACTGATACTTAACCAACTCTTAACTGTGCAAATACAGTAACCTAGAAAAGTAAAAAAATATTGGCTTCACTACGCACTAGGGTGGATTTACAAAAACTGGGGCAAAGGGAAGCAGTTCATAAATGAAGTAGTAGTACATAGCAACTACTTAGGCTTAATCAGTTTGGCACCATGTGCCCTGAGCCCAGTATTGACCCGTAAGTTCAAAAGTACCCCTAGAAAAAGTAAGTATATCATTAAAAGGCACAAAACTGCATCAGCACAAAAATTACTGATAGTTGTAGTGTCCATCTCTCCTCTACAAACATTGAGACCCACGAGTCTCCTCAGCTGTCACTTTCTGGTTTTGGGGCATAGACAAGCCCCACCAATTTTCCCACAATGCACTGAGCTTGAGCATCCTATCACTGGGCCTAAAGCTTAGTACACATGATGACAATATTGGATGAATGATTGTCCTTTTTTTTTTTGCAAGTCTAATCTCATATCAAAAACGGATAGGTTGCTAAAGTTACGAAAATTTTCGTAAGACAGAATACAACTTCAAGAGTGATGTAATGTATTTTACTGTATTATAATGTATTATTTCCTTTCCTAAACATGCGAGGTCTTGGTCACTTGATTGTTTTTGTACAAATATTATACTAATTACATGAAAATCATTTGTTCTGTTACCTTGCAAGAAAAATTTTCATGGTTGTCCCTTTGGATATTTTCTCTTGAACTGTCGTGATCGGCTCTCAAAAGCTGTGCACTAATGATCAGATTATTGGATGATCTCTCCGAAAGTGTTTTTATTTTCATCAGATTTTCTCATCATTTGCACCAGGCTTAAGTACAGTATTGTCTTGCAAGACAACTGAAAACTGAAAATGATCAACATTGTAATTTAAGGTATATTAAAAACCTTTAACTAACATAGAACTAAAATAAGATTATGCCCATGTATTCTAACACCTGTATTGTGGGCAAGAATATTTAAAGTGCATGTGTGGGAAAAAAAAACTAATTGTCTCACTAATACATGCACATTTACCCATATGATGTCTCTTTAAAACACTGCAAGTTATGAAAATATCTGCCAGAAATGCAGTTAGTTCCTAACTTATTGTATAGGTCTGTCAACATTGGCTCTACCATACTGTGCTACACTGATATAGTTTAGCAGAGAAGAACTCTGGTAGGGCTGACAGTGCTGTTGGGGATTTTGGTGCAGCAGTGCCAGTGCAGGCAACTCACTACAGAAAGCTAGATCACTGCATTCCTGGCAGGATCAGATATTTTTCAGTACTTGCAATGTTTTTAAAAAGACATAACAATGGGAAATGTGCATATAATGCGCTTTAATAAGTAGCATATCAAAGTATAAGTGTGTTTTATACCACGTATACACATTTAGTAATATGTGTATGAGGTCTTCTATTTTTGTTTTTCATTATTTAACCGCTTAAGGACTGCCCTATAGCAGATATACTGCTACAGGGCAGCAGCTGTGTGCAGAATCACGTATATATACGTCATTTTGCATTTCTTGGTAGGGGGCGCGTGCGATGATTACCGAGGATCTCCGATGGGGAGTAAGATTGTTTTGTTTACAAACAGTCTTCCTCCCTGTCAGCTCGAGCACACTGCTGGGGGTGGCTGTGCACAGTACAGCCATCCTGATCAGTGTGCTTACAGTTAAGCACACCTCCGCCCCCTAGTAAAACACTCCTAGCACACCGTTAACCCTTCTGATCGCCCCTCACATTAACCCCTTCCTGCCCAGTGCCAATAGTACAGTGTCAGTGTTTTTTTTTAGCACTGATAACTGTATTGGTGTCATTGGGGTGTCAGTGACAAGTTAGTTCCCCCCTAGTGTCAGAATGTCCGCCGCAGTCCCGCTAAAAGTCGCTGATCGCCGCCATTACTACTAGAAAAAAAAAATTCCACTATCTATACTGCCATTTGTAAAGGCTATAACTTTCACGTAAACCAATTCATTTACACGTATTGGGATTTCTTTTTGTAGTAAAGACATGTAGCAGAATACATTTTGGTCTAAATTGAAGACGAAATTAGATTTTGTAAATTTTTTTTGCTGGACATGTTTAATAGCAAAAAGTCCAAAATATAGGTTTTTTTTCTCAAAATTGTCGATCTTTTTTTTTTGCTTATAGCGCAAAAAATAAAAAATGCACAGGAGATCAAATACCACTGAAAGAAAGTTCAATTCGTGGGAAAAAAAAGGATGTAAATTTCATTTGGGTGCAGCGATGCATGACCGCGCAATTGTCAGTTAAAGTAATGCAAAGGGGGTAAATTCTCAAGAGGGCAAGCGGTTAATTACTTAACTTTATTGGTATGTGATATCTGTCTCAAAAGGCAGATGGTTTGAGCCACTGTCACAGTGCCTTGTTTCTTTGAATGATCCAGGGAGCGATCAGATGACCATCATTTCACCCTCTGATGGGATATTTACTGCTTGTGATCTAACATACATTCAAGCTTGGCCTCTTGCACAAAACCTTTGTGGATAGGTCCATCTTAGGACATCACTAAATAGACCCTGTTGAATACCTTGAATGGGGGCTGAAAATTCTCATTAACTCCCCACTTGGCTCCTGATGGTAGGAATCTGATCCTGAGCATGCAGATGCTTAGTCCTGAGCACTTCAGGGTCATTCAACACAAGTCTGAATGTCAGAGCCCGTATACTATCTAGAGAACCCACAGTACTCCTTATTCTAGAGAAGTATAACAAGTGCGCAATCCTTAAAATTAAGCAATATATGTAACTGCCTGCTAAGGGTAACACTTTGCTCCAGTTTTTTTTATAATAAGCTCTACATATTTTACCTCTTTGGCACTGTCAAGTCAAACCTGACATGAGTAAGACCCACAGAGCAACATGTGTAATCCACTGATCAAATCTAAAATAACGAAGCCACAATATAGGCAACCTCCTTTTTTGTTATTTTGCTGACCTAACACTTTTGGATCAGTAGTAATTTGCACAAAGGGTATGGTCAGGTATCTGCTGTCTGACATTAGCTCTACATAAAACATTGCATACATCATTTGTGAATAGTCCTATTTAGGCATTATATTAATATGAAAGAGAACCAGAATTGTCCTGCCCAAGATAAGATGGTGAGGTGCCTGCCATTACATTTGTTAGTCAGAAAAGACTCTTGTGTGCTTTCCTTTGATCCCAGATTCACCTGGTTACAAAATTTGGGATTTCCCAAACTATGGGAATAAATCACACCTAAATGAACCCTGATGTCACAAAAAAGATATTTATTCAGCTTGAGGGAGGTTAGTGAGAGAGAATGATGGTGGAGGAAGCGCACTATAAACTCAGGGCTTGCAAGGGTGGTGCACAAAAGAGGCTTTTCTGACTAACAATGGTAATCTGAATTTAATTTCAAGAGTTGAAATTGGCTACTGTTTCATTACAAATCGTGTAACCATGGTTTAAATGAGAACATAAGATAAGAATTCAAAATTGCATTCACATATATTGGAGATTGTACCACATTTGGGTATTTTTGAATCCCAAATACATGTTGGCAGCACTGTTGACATTTTTTTTTTAAGTAAGAGAGACTTAGCTGTATGATCACACAAAATTACTGTGAGAGGAATAAGCAAATGGCAGAGTTAGCAGTTTTTTTCTGGGTGGGCATGGTTTTCTAATTACTTATTCCTAAAAGATTGCAACCTATCCTCTTGGTTTAGAAAAGGGATTACACCTGCTAGTCCAATACAAATGTAAGCAGCACTGACCTATATTCCTTTTTCAGGTGTGATTCTGGGAACAGCAAGTCATTTAGAAACATGTAGGGTTGCGCCGTATGTGAACATGGGAGCGTTGAGGATGCCTTTCCAACAGGTAGCACATTTATTATTTGCATTTGGTGGAGGAAAGCATGTGGGTTCGAATATAAAGCCCAATACCTAGAATGTATTATGTTCAACATTTTAGACAATATTTAAAATCATTACAGTTAACAAAAAGAGATGCTACCTAAAGCAGTCAGATTGTCTGGCACAAACAATAACATGAAAGCTAGCCTGTGATTGATATGGGCATGCTGGACTGCTTTTCCTTTCAGCTATTTTTTTTATAGATGTTGGACATAGAGTACATGTTTTCTAACTGCCAGGTCTTCATGTAAGGTAATTATAGCTTAACACTGTTGTAACATTGGTAACAGTCCTAGACAGAAGGCCAGCACAGTTGTTCATACAGAAGAATGAAAATGTGATCTGTCTCTGCATTGCATTGTAAATTGTTTTCAGTCATTGTTCTACAGATAATTTCATAGTTGCAGATACTGCCAGTTAGCATTGGCATGCTAATGTTGGTTAATTTTAGAATGCTCAATGAATGCTAGTTGGATTAGATTGTAATTCATGAAGTAAAAAAAAATATTGAATATTAAAAGGCAGCCTTTTCATTTGCTCTCCTTTTTTTTGGCAAATATATTCCCCACTTTTCACCCTTAGGTTCCAGAGTGGTTTATTTTTAGTATTGGAGATGTCTCAGTTTTGCACCATATAATGTTTAGCTTTTCTAGTCTGCTCTAAGCTATACATCTTTTAATTCAGTACAGGCTGGGCTTTAATTTGGTAGCAGATATGGATACATAGATTTTACCTTCCAATGTTTTAATTAGGAAGAAATATGACAGTAAAAGCCTTTCAACTAAAAATGATAGCACTATGATATGATGATACAGTGTGATTTTTATGGCTCAAATAAAATTTTATTTATCCAGTCTGTGCAAATTCTGACATTCCACTCCTACATGTAAAAAAAACAGCATTTTGTTAAAGGAAAACTACATTTTTAAAAAAATCAGAGGCCCTAGAAACAAAATGGTGGGTTTTGCATATTTTTATATCACACAATATTTGCGTAGTGGATTTTAAACGCAATCTTTTTTTTTTTTAATGCATGTTAATGAATTTTAATGCTCAAAACCACCATATAATACCCAATTGTAAATTATAAAAGATGATGTTAGACCGAGTAAATAGATACCAAACATGTCATGCTTTAAAATTGTGTATGCTTATGGAATGACGCCAAACTACGTTACCTCAAAATCTTCATAGGCGATGCTTTAAAAGCCTTTACAGGTTACCAATTTAGAATTAAACAGGAGGTCTGTAACTAGAATCATTGCTCTTGCCCTGACATTTGCAGTGATACCTCACATGTGTGGTGCGTTCACCATTTGATCTGTTTGATATGTTTGATGCCTGCACAAGCCAGTAATGTTTTGTTTACATAAGACTGAAATCAAAAGTGATGAAATCCTCATTGCTTCCAGTTTCTGACATCACACAGTGGGAGGAGCAACATCAGTTCCTCTTACTGTGTCCCAGAAACCAGATCCCACAGGTTGCATCTTTTACTGGGCTCCCTGATCGGAAGAGCCTGGTAAAGGCGGCAGCAGGGGCATCCCCTTCCACGGTCTGTAAAAGTAATCCAGCGGCTGTATAGCCACTCAAATTACTTTTACTAAAAAGAGGATCGCCGGTTGAAAAAAAAAAAAACGATACGGGGATCATGACTGTAGATGTAGTCATGATCTCAGTATAACAACTTCAACCTTAGGCCATTTATAAATAGCCTAAAGGACGGGAAGTGGTGAAATATAGGGGCACTTTTTTTCAGCATTATTTTGCAACATACACAGGAACAATCAACACAAATCTGCTTTGGACAATTTGGGTTTGGACAGAAATGAGCACGGAGGCAACATTTTCATAAGTTTGTGAGCACTAAAATTCTGCTTGACACTTATGCTCACTTATGTCAGCGTTTGACACTCACACAGTAATGCAAAATGTCATCCAGAGCATCCATTCTGGGGACATCCATTCTGGGGATTAATGGGGAGAGGATTTTTTATTTTTTACTATTTTTCTGTTTGTTATTTATGTACATGTCTTATTTGTTCTTCATTTATACATTTTCTTTTTTTTTTTACAATTGTTTTCTTCACGGAGGTGAGGGAAGACTTGATCCAGCCACTGCCCCATGCTCCTTAGCAGCAAAAGATCACTTGCATTAAATATCTATTTTATCTCTTTTATTGTAGTGAACTGTTGCTGTAAGGGTAGGCAGGGCAAGCTTGATCAGTTCTGACTTATTTAAAGATGGCTGTGTGACACCACAGATGACTTCCCAGGGCAAAAAAATAGAATTTGGGGCTTAAGTGGTAAAATATAAAAATATACATTTTGAATTTTAAGATAAAAATGGAGCATACATTTAACTGCATTTAGCAATGTGTGCAATGCTTGTGCAGTCTTATGATTTACAATATTAATGTCTTACTTTCTAGAAGATAACCAGAATATACCTTTTTGATACCTCAAGAAGGTAGTAACATGCCTATGTCTAATTGGTAGTAAATTCAAATTTTACATAAATTACAAACTAAGGAAAATGTTAAAAAGATAGGTGTAAGCAATACATATAAAGTTAGTTTAGAAATATGCTACGTATTTATTATAATTTTCTTTAGATCATGCTTTGGTTCTATACCAGAGTGACCAATGTGATTTTAATCAATTTAGTAAGAAGTAGTGTAATCTTTTTTTTATATTATTTTATAGCAGCCCCAAGGTTATTTTTTGTCATAGAACTATGGTAGCACAAGATGTTGTATGCTATTACATGTTTAGATCTTCATGAAAGGTAAACCAGTTAGGATAGATTTTTTTTTTAATAAAAGGGACACAAACATATCTTAAACTGACCTTCACATGGGGTTGATTTGCTAAAACTGCAGAGTGCAAAATATGGTGCAGCTGTGCATAGAAACCAATCAACCAAAACAAATGTTTTAATTTAAAATAAACATTTTATTTAAAATTGTAGGGTTCATATACATGTAACATCTATATCTGTTTCCCTTCCCTTCTCTGCAAATGATGTTCCTTTAAAAATATTTTATTGAATAGATCTCACTGCTATTACCTTGCAGGGTTGTTAACAATACTATTCAAAAAAGAAACAGATCTGAAGCTAGGAAACTCAGGGCATCCATGTTCTCTTTTTCAATTTAAACAACTAATCAATTGTAAAAAAATGTTCCTTGTAGCTGAATGTTTAGCACAAAGACAAAATCACTAAGCTAGTAATAGCAGTTATAAAATAATATACAGTATGTTTTGTACATTTTAATTCTAAAACATTTGTCGTCATTTTACTTATTGTTCTAATGGAGCTATGGCTCATTCATTTACAGTTTATTTGAAAATGCAGGGGGAAAAGCATGTTATAAAAATGAAACATGAGAAATTGTTGGTTACTATTGGAATTTTTCCTTGTCTGTTAATGCATTTTGGAAAACACATAAATGATTAATAAAAATCAAATGTATGAGCCTTCAACTATTAATGTTCATTGAGAACCTCTGAAAATGCAATAGATTATGGGTAATAAAAACCTTTCGTTTTAGCCAGTGACTAATGGCAACTTTGCTATTATAATTATACATCTGCATTTTTATTTACATCTGACTTGTCATTACACTTTTCAAGATATACCATATGAGTGTTAATTTGTTCCTACAGTTTGAGAACAATTTGATATTGTGTGTTTCTTTGTGGGCAAGACTGTAGTCCAAGTTATATTAATTTCCAGGTGTGAATTTTCTAAATTTTTTTTTTGATGATGTGGGGAAAAGGCATTTAAACCAGTCTAGATGTAAGTGCTACTGTGTGGTAACCAAGTGCTTCCTAAAAATGGCTCATATTTATTAATGAACTTTTCAGAAAAACAAAAATGGCAAATACTGCGTGTGTCTAGCTTATGAAAGCTTTTTTTGACTTTCTGTGAAACAGATAAGTACTGTCGCTCATTTTTACAATACAGTGGGGACTTTATGAAATGGTTGGCCACCTAAAGTTGTATTGACTAACTGATGTTTGTGTGGAGAAAGTGGCAAACTTCGAGCATACATGTGGTTGCTGGACAGATGTCCAAAACAAACGTTTTCAGTCAAATTCATTTTTTGTTGGCCATTTCAGCTAGATTTTTATGGTAGAAAATGAAGACAAACATGAGTACCTTATAACAAATTTACACTGTGCCACACAGAACCTTAGAACGAGCTGAAAATATATTTAATTTTTTCTCTGCTGGTGATGATAGGCAGTCTTCTAATGGCATGAATTTATTAGTGATATTGGTGGGCTAGCGCAAAGATATGTTACATTCATTTTTTAGCTTTTTTAATGTTTTTTCTGCTCAAATGTGTAATTTATTCTCACTTTAGTTAAATAATTGTAACTTTGGATAATTATTTTAATCCACCATATATGTGCCAAATAACCTATAAAACAGTAAAAAGGTAAAAGAAAATGAATTCTCCACTTCTGTTATACTCTATTAGAGCATTTCTGTACTTGTTTGCAATTTTTGTTGCAGAAAGTTTCAGGACCAAGAGAAATTTAAAAAGGAGGGTTTTACCAATAGCAGTCCACATTTTTTCACTTAGCTCAGGGAAGCTGTATTTACTTTATTCACCCAATCATCCATCAGTATGTATCCTTCTCCATGCAGCTCTGCAGTATCCAGTATTTTTCACTTTTCTATGTTTCTAAGTTTCTTCTTATTATTAATACTATAAATATAAAAAAGTGCCAACAGGTATGCCGTAATAACCTATTCACTCACAGCATCTGATTTATTGAGCTCAAAGTTCCCTTGCATGCAACTGGGCTGAATTACTAAAAGATTTGAGAATCTTCACTCAAAAAATGGTGTGGCTATTCACTTTAATGATCACTTTCATATGATTTGAATAATTGAAATGAATATTCACACATCGTTTTGACGCTAACTGCTATAGTAAGTTAGCCTCACCATACTAATTAGCTCCAATGGCTTGTTTGTGTGGTGCATTGCACACATTGGCATGGCTCATTGATTTTGAGCACAATGATCCAACTCTGTTACCTACTTTTTTCTTAACCAAGATAGGTGTCCGTTTATGACACAGAGAATAGCTGCGATTCAGAGGATCGCAGCTATTCTCTGGTCATTCAC